TATATATATATATATATATACACAAAGAGATCTGAGATCACGTAACACCGGTCTATTTTTATGAGACTTATATATTATTTTTTACACTTGAAATTTTACAATAAAAACGTTGTAAAGGTAACATTTACAGTGTTTTTACTGTGAATGTTCAGTTTTTTATCTTCACAACATTTTGTTGTGAAGTTTCAAGTGTAAAAATCGTATCTCACGAAAACAAGTTTGTCTCACGTGAACATAACCTTATATATATATATATATATATATATATATATATGGGGGCACGTTCAAATGAAAACCGTGCATTTCTAAGAAACCGTATAAACCAATTTCGACCAATAGGAAAATTCTTTTTTTTTTTCAAATTAAATTTAATCAATAAGGGTATTTCGGTCATTTACAATATTTTCTATTAAATATGAAAGTAATTAATAAATCTTAATTAAGGAAACGTAATAAATGAAATTATATAAATGGTAACATTTAAATATTTAATTATATTAAAATATTAAAATTTTGGATTTTATATATTGTCATAAGTTATAATCATGAAACGTGTCTTGATGAAACAATTGAATTATAGAATGAAATCATTAAAACGTAGATGAACAAAAAAAATCCACAAAATGAAACAGGTTTTATGAACGTGAAACCGGTTCATGTTGCAAAGAAATTATGTGAACCGAAACATTTTGATGGTGAACCCGTTGCATTGATGGTCTAGTTAATTTTTTTTATGAGAAGCAAAATGAAACCGGTGCATTTTGAAAAAAAATTATGAAAAAAATAAATAAAACAAGTTTCATGAACGTGAAACCGGTTCATGTTGCAAATAAATTGGGTGAACCAAAACATTTTTATGGTGAAACCGTTGAATTGATGGTGTAATTGATCCATTTTGTTGATGAAAAGGAAAATGAAACCGGTGCATTTTGAAAATAAATTATGAAAAGGAAAATGAAACAGGTTTCATGAACATGAAACCGAGTCTTGTTGCAAAAAAATTATGTGAACCGAAACATTTTCATGGTGAAACCAATTTCGTTCATATAATGTAATTCAAAATTTAAAACGATTCACTCCATATAATTGAATACGGTGTATTATATTCATTTTTTTTATATGTTTTATTGATAGATGTGATTTAAAGTTAAAAATAATATATTGCTTTAAAAAAATGAAAATAGTATCATTAATATCTAGAATGATGTTACCAAATGTTAAATTTTGTTTACCATTTTTGCCCTTACTGTTGAAATAAAATAATTTTTTAATATATATATATTTTTAATTTTCTAAAATAAAGTAAACTAATCTTTGTCATTGATCAAGAAAATGAATGGATAAGATTGGTTTACAAGGTTTACACAAATGAAACATGTTTTTATTTGAACACTCCTATATATATATATATATATATTTTTTTTTTTATTTTTTTTATTTATGTATATATTATTACAAATGTAGCTAGAATAGTTTGGATTCGATTTTTAGATGATAATGCTTTTGAAGAGGTCGAACGATTTCACATTTGTCATTTTTATATATTTTTTAAAAGATGTTATCATTTTCTTTCACACCAAAGACAAAAAGATAATATATATATATATATATATATATATGTGTGTGTGTGGAGGTTGCAAGGGTTGTACAAATACACAAGGTTGTAAAAGAAATATACCCTATATATATATATATATATGTGTGTGTGTGTGTGTGTGTGTGTGGAGGTTCAAACGAGAACCTCAAACTTTTTTAATTAATAAATTAACTTATATTAAATATAAATAAATTAATAAGGACAATAATGTAATTAATTAATTTTTATAATTTTTATTTTATTTTAATTAGTCATAATTATCTTTTTTTTTCCTGCACGTTCGTTTCCACTCTCTTCTCTCCCCTTGTGATAATTGTATGATTGTGTAACCATAACCTGTCGAAACCATGATCAATCAAGTGTAACCATAACCTATCGAAACCATGAGTAATCGTTGTGATAAATGTGTGATTGTCTAACCCTAACCGATCGAAACCATGATCAAATTGAGTGCGCAAATGATGTTATAATAGTGATATCACTTGATTATCACACTCATATCACACCAAATCGTTTAGTAGATTTCGTTCGTAATCGTTGTGATAAATGTGTGATCATCTAATCCTAACCGATCGAAATCATGATCAAAACGAGTGTGCTATTATGATAGTGATATCACATGATTATCACACCCATATCACACCAAATCGGTAGCCGATTTTCTAAGTTAATCCTAGCCGAGCGGAATCCTTGTGATAATTGTGTGATAATCACATGATTATCACACCCAAATCACACCAAATCGTGTTGATATAAGCGATAATGTGATAATTGTATGAATATCACATGATTATCACACCCAAATCACACCAAATCGTGTTGATATAAGCGATAATGTGATATGGGTGTGATAATCATGTGATTAACCGTTTATTAGATAATGATAATCATGATTGTGTAATCATATTAAAAGATTTTATGATATAATTTTCATTATTACCCTTTTAATTTTAATATTTTCTGAATCTTGGACAAATTTCATCATAGAATTTTTGTAGCAAATTAAAAAAGGATGTTTACTAAACACGGGTGAACAATCATAAACAAAGGGTAATTTTGGGAAAAAAAAAAGGAAAATTTCTTTTAACATTAATTACTTTTCCGATAATTACACAATAATTTTGAAACCGTCACCAAGCTTTAATTATTTCTTCATTTATTAATATGTAATATGTAACTTATGAATGGTGTGAATTAATGAACAATTGTTATATATGAATAGCTTATGAACATTGTTCATCAATGAAAATATAACACATACGAAAAATGTTCATTAGTAGATACATACATGAATGAGTACGTATGTGTGACTGATTAACAATATTCACCAATGAACAAATAACAATGTAACTCCATCATAATATGTTAAACACATATACAAATTTTATTTCTGAAAGACATCCATCATAGTATGTTAAACACACATACAAATTTAAAAAGAGCCAAATTTTAGGAACAATGTAATTCCCATATTTTATAAACATATATATATATATAATTTAATAATCATAAATTAACTTATTTTTAAGCTTATAAAAAACCCTTGTATGATAAATCATGAACTAATTTTTTAAAAAATTACTTCAGATAGTTTATTTTATATTATTATCAATTAACTTTTACCAATCCTGATTAAATTTTACTCATCAACAGCTAACTTGATTATACTGAAATAATTAACTTATCAGTTAGTTTATAAAATGAAAAGCATCAATAAATAAGAAATTAGAACCACATTTGACTTAATTATAGCATTATGGAGGAATATATTAAAGATTATGCAAAATAGTATTTAATTAATCCACTAATTTGTTGGTCAAGAAAAGTAATATTAAAAAAAGAAATAATAAATGTTTAAAAAAGCACTAGATTTGCTGCAGTTGATGACCTCTTTCTTTCCAGGTGAATACATGAACATCCCCCTCTTTCTTTGACTTTTGTTTTTCTCATTAAATATTAATTATTAATTATTTAATATTAAATATTAACTTTAAATATATGGAATATATGATACCATAATTGCATTTTTTTTATTTTTTATTTTAATTATATTTAG